CCCCGTCCATATCATGAAAGATGCTTCTTGTCCTGAATTCTTAATAAAATCAAATGCTGACAAAATAAGTTGATATGGAGAATCGCACAGGACATCTCCAAAAGGACCAGGGTTGGAGGCATTTGCCCCTTTGGATGAAGAGCACACTTTGGTGTGGTCATCTGTGATGTGGTAACTAGGATCTAAGTGTAAATCAGTCACATGCCAGAACTGTCCTGTTGATCAGAAAAGAAATGCTGATAAATACTTTTCTTTTGGAATTCCCATACAAATATTTACATTAATACTAGAAACAGTTTTCCCTCCCTATGATGAGAAAAGATTTAATAATTTAAATGTCCTTATACCATGAAGTTAAATACAATCCTTTCCTGTGAGAAGATGAATATTCAAAGAACACAGGATAAATATCCCACTTACATATGTCAGAACTAATGAGCTTATTAGCACAACTACTAACAAAGAATTTGCCTAATGAAATTTTGGGGGACATCCTTCTGAGAGGTCAATGATAATATTATACTGTGTCTTAATAGCATGTCTCCTTACAGAATTCAAGGTTTGGGAAATTATTTACATTCATTTTGCAAAAAAACTGACACTGAAATATGTGATTTCTCAGAGTTACATGAATAGGTTAACTGCAGAATGAAGAAAGGTATTCCTCAGTTAATTTTTTATATAACTTTCTTCTCAACATTAAAGGAAAGAGCATAAATCTTTAACCATAGTCATATGCCCCAAGTGGGAATTCCCACAGATTCTTAAAAGCTATTTAATAAAGGTACACCTTCTATTATATACTTGTACAAAACATTTATAGTATTACAGGAAGCAGTTGTTAAAGACAATGTTCCCATTGGGTTTTCAGGGAGAAGCCAAATCCATTTGATAACATGCCTGTTTGGAAAACATCTTAAGAAAGGTTACTTCCTTGAAGGACACACTAAAACAAATAGTCATAGTAGTTACCTCATTTTATTATTTAATATGTGCTAGGCACTGTGATAAGAAATTTAAATATACTAAGTTATTTCATTCTCAAAAGTATTCTATCACCTAGGAAATCATGTACCAGAAACTTGCTCAAGTACATACAGTTAGTCTGAACCCTTATTTGAAGGGCCCCCAATCTTGCATCTATATAATTAAATTATAAATTCATTTCTGCTTTCTTATGTTTATTTTTTAATTTGCTTTAACATTGAGAGGTTTTTTTTGACACTTTATTATACATTTAAATCTGCCTATGATTAATAGGCAGCTTTAATGGCCATGGTTTCCCCCAGTTTGGATAAATACAAACACCTTCAGGACAATAACTAATTTCCAGAGTTGCAAAAGAAAACATTTCCTTTACTTTCATTTAATCTCTATACTTTTTTACTAAGCATATTCCGTGCACTTTTTCCTCAGATTGTTTTTAAATTTGCTTTTAAAATGACTTCTAAAACAAATCTTCAACACACATGAGAACATAGGATTTTGAGTTTACTATGATTCYAATTAATTTATATCAGAAACACAACAGAAGTGTCAGAGCAAAAAAAAAAAAAAAAGAATGTAAGCCTTTATTTATATAAACATAATAAAACTTAATACAGCCCAAAGCTGGAAAARTGAAGTGAAAATTTGATTTTTTTAAGATGGAAAGTATGAGTAATCTTTTTGGTTGTTTCCTGCCAATGTTATTATTATAATTTCATAACACAAATTCACACCTAAGAAGTGCCAGACAACAGATCTAGATGAACATAGACATAAAATAGTCCTTATGGTCAATTACTCAGTACTTAGTCACCATTTGAAAACATCTGCTGAGTAATTGATTTTATTCCATAATGCAGAAAATACCTTACCCTATATTTCCAGTTTAGATTTGCTTTATCCTGTACACAAAGTAGAGATGACAAAGCAGTCACAATCATACTAGAGGCTGCCTTTCCTTGGACATCTCACTCTTGTGTAAACATGTATTTGTATTATTTGTAGAATATTAAGGAATAGCAAACTGTACACAAGACATAAGTGCTGTGGTGGAGAGCTAAAGCACAGGTCAGATCACCTGCCTTTCAACACAACCTCCACCACCTACTAATTTGGTTGAGTGACCTTAACTGGTTTCATTTGTAAAGTGGGAATAATAATAGTGTCGCTGTGAGGGTTGAGTGACTCCATAGCAGGAAAGCCCTTAGGAGGCRCATGGCACCTAGTAAGTACCACCTTTAGTCTGACTGTTATTACTTTGTAATTCCAAAACTTTAATTTAAAATTGAACTTCCCTATTGGCAAGTAAGTTAAAAATTAGGGAGTACTTATTATGTTTCTCACATGTTTATGCTTTTTAATACTTTACATACATTAATCCATTATTCTTCCGCATTTTACAGATAGGGAACTAAAGTACATAGAAATTAAATCCAGTCACATAGATCTTACACAACAGAGCTGCCACATGAATTCCGGAATCCCACCCAGTGTTCCTGCTGCCCTTCAGAACTGCAGGCACTGCCTCCCTGTGTGTGTTCAGTCGAAGAGAAAAATAGGCAATGGCATCTATGTGTGAGATACTATGAAGAGTAAGTCCCACAAGAAAATTAATTTACTAAATTTGTGTAACCCAAGACTTAAAATGCAGTAAGAGAACATTCTTTCGATGTAATCTAGTACCTAGTTTATATACCTCCAGCATCTAGAGTATGTTTGACCAACAGAGACCCTCAATAAATATTCTTTATATATGATGACATTTTAGGTCAAGGCCAATTTGGGRGATTTACTCAAGATCACATGACGATTCAGTAATGAAAGCTGAACTGGAGCCAAACTCCCCAGACTCCACTGCTCTTTCTACTACATGGCATTGCCAGACAGATAAATGAGGGGCTAATTATTTAGATTGACTAAAGGAAATCTTTAAATAGAAGCCAAAAACTCTGACAAGTTCTTAACCTGAGATTTATGCATAATGAACTCCGGATTAATTAGGGAACCCCTAATGAATTGTATTTAAAATGTGCTGTTTATGTGTGTGTGTGTGTGTGTGTGTGTGTGTGTGTGTGTCTGTATGTATGTATGTATGTCTATCTAAAGACACGGACTTGGCCTGTGACAGAGCCCACGCACACACCAATCCCAGTTCCCTGGTTCAAAGTCCAGAGTGCTTAAAAAAAAATATATCCAAAAATTATGTGTGTATGGGTATGTGTGTGTGTATTCAACATTATCTAGAAAAATGTTCAAAATCATACAAGTCTTTCAGTATCATTTATCCTAAAGAACCCACTGAACCTTAGCTCAGATGTTGGGACATGGGGTCATTTATTGTTTATAATGTTAGTTCCTATCTACTAAATACACCAATAGGCCCCRGTTTGCTAAATCAAAAGCGTTGGGGCCAAACAGACCCAGCAGAGCAGAAACTGAGACAGGGAATTTAGACATACAAACACAAAACAAGCAGGAGACAGGCATGGTAGAAGCTGTGGAGGTATCTAAGCACTGAGGTCTCAGAGGTAAAAGGGGGACACTTGGTCACCTCAAGTAGAAAACATGTAAAATACTACATGCTCAGTGAAACCCTAAGTCAACACTTCTCTGGCCTCTGGAATCCATTTACCTCTTTCCCTTCCTCTGCAGCTTCCCTACCAAAACAGGAAGAAGTGAAGAGAAGCTTCAYATCCTATCCAGAAAGTTTTCATGGAGACCCTAGGCATCAATCATTAAAACCAAAAGGTGAGTTTACCATTGGTAGGGTTCAATAATTTCAACCTGAGACATTTTATCTGAAAATCCCATATAGCCACATAGTTAACATAACACAACACAACTCCAGCAATAATAAAAGCAGAAGTCATCATCGTACATCAACATTTTGGGGGCGATTTTTGGTTATAACTAACATTTGTCAATCATAAAAACCAATTTACAGTTCTTCAAACTGCCTGACAGCAGAGTCAATAGCACTTGGCTTTGAGATAAAAAGAAGACACTTTCCCTTTCCCGAGAGCCAAAGTGTTCCTGAAATCCTGTGAGTGGGTGGAGAGAGCAAGCAAGAGTGACACAGAGAGAGGGGGAAGATGGAATGCTGAGCACTAAGCCTGCTTCTGAGTCTCAGGGACTGCTAATCCCCAAACAGAACACCTATTTTTTTTCTTCCTGCCCCCCCCCCACTACAGCAATTATTTTAAAAGGGAGTCAGGGAGGTTAGTTTCCTGGATTTTTGAAACTGAAGGCTCAAAAAGCATTGTACAATCTCTCACCCTTCATTTAGTCTAGACTGGCTATAGCGTCATCAGAACCCCTTAAGAAGTTTGTTAAACACTGTTGAGCCTCAGCGTTGCAGTTTCAGATTCAGGAAGTCTGGCGTGACGCTGACATTTTCCATTTCAAAAAAGTTTAGGTGCTGCTGCTACTCCTGCTATTGTTTGGGGGCCACACTTTGAGAAACCTCTTATAACAGGCACCTCATTCTTGGTTGGAAATGAATAAAACGGGCCCCGCAGCAGGAAGCCTGGTGGGCATCTGGTGAAATGAAAGGCCAAGCGCTTCTATGGTAGACCAAGGAAGGGGGAGCGCAGCACCCAGAGGGTAGTCGCCTTCTGGCTGAGTGCCTGGCAGACAAAGCCTCACTGAGCAGGACAGAAGATACCACTAAAACTTACACAACTTAAGTGAGAGGGACACTTCTGCGTGGCCCCCTGCTCTCTGGGCTGTCCAGGGACGCTAGGAGTGGCCGACACCCAACAGCCCCTAACTTTTCCAGCCTTCCCCGGGGCCCGGCCACCCAGACGCAGGATGTAAACAAACGCCCTGCGGGCGGAACCCAGCGCGCCCGAGGGAGCGCCCCCGCCGGCGCGGACCTTTCCCCGCCTGCCYCGAGTTGCCGGCGGGTGACCTGATTCCGGCTTTGGCCGCCCTGCCCTGCCCTGCCCTGCCGCGGTCCACTCCGCGGCCCACTCCGCGCCGTCGGGCCGGGACTCGGGTGGGCCGGGACCCACGTTGCCCCGGCCTCGGCACAGCGCTCAGCTGCCGCGCTCACTTTCCCGACTTTGCGGAGCCCTTTGGCCCGGCGCCCTCCGCAGCTCCCTGACGACTCACCCACAGCCGCCGCGGGACACCCGCCGCCAGCGGGAGCCAGGGGCAGCCCGAGGCCCGTGCGGCCGTGCCAGGCGGCCAGCACGCAGCAGAGGAAGGCGCCCAGCAGCGCCATGGCATGCGGCGGACCCGGGAGGCTCAGGCTGTCCTGTCGTGCGGTTCCACTGGGACCGGCAGGCCTGGGGGTGGGGAGGAGGCAGAGAAGGCGCGGGTGTAGACGCCCAGCCGATCACGTGCATAGAGATTTACCCAAGGAGTCGGGTCTCCTGACCTTCAGCTGCTGTGTTGTGATTATGAGCCTTCCTGTTTCTTAGCGTCAGTGACTGGTCTGGGAAAGAATGCTCTTGGGCCAACCCCACACACATCATCTTCCTCAAATGCCATCAGGCCCTAAATAGAGGACGCTGCTTAGCAAAAGCCTTGCAGAGAGCCCTGAACTGTGCTTTGATCAATCTAGGCCAACAGAAGTTTGGGATAGCGCAGTAGTTCTCAAAGTGCAGTTTTTGAGTCAGCAGGATGAGTAGTAGCACCTGAGAACTCTAATTAGAAAGGCAAATTCCCAGGCCCCACCCGGACTTAACCAATCAGAGACTCTGGGAGGGGAGCCCAGCAAAGCTTGTTTTCACATGCCTTCCAGGTGATAATTAATTGTCAGCGATGCTTGAAGACCACTGCTCAAAGGCTCCAGGTTGTATTGTATGTGTGTATATATGTATTTTTTCCCATTTAGGCCAATCCCAACACCTTTCCATTCTGTTGGAAATTAATGTATGTATTACAACTGACACCATTGTCTCTGAATCGTGCTGTATGAATTCTGGAGATGTATGGAAAGAATGAACAGAGGCAGCTGATTTTACACTTCCAAGAAATTTTTTAAGACACTTTCGCAAAGAAGTCAGAATCTGCCAACTGTGTTGAGGCACATATCCTGTGCTCTTTCTCTTACCATTTATGAGGATSTTGATCTCTCTAAGATAATGCTAATAGTTATAAGTCATGGAATTTCTTTGGATAGGAAAATACCATAAGAATTACTAACCTCATAAAAAATATTGTACAGTGTATTTATTTCCCATCAGAGAAAACCTTGTTTTGCATCCTGTGTAGTTTAATGAAAGTGTGTCTCCGGCTTGAAATGGGAACCAGAGCACCTCATTCCTCAATTTTAAGTTTGGCCAGGGCAGCCTAAACCCAGCCTCAGCTTCCAGATGATTCAAAAAACAGTGCTTTCCAATGGCAGATAAAATGGTCCTTGCAGTTTTTCAGTTCTCATCCTGTGGAGTATGAGGGAAAGTGGGGCAGGAAAAAGGAAAAAAAAAAAAAAAAAAAAAAAACTGGTGAATTTGAGAGAATACCTTTAAAAAAAAAATAGGAAAAGGGAAAATTATAAAAATATTGATTTTTTTTCTCATGTTCTCCAATTTTCAACACACTGTACTTGAAGTAAATTGGTTGTGAAATAGTTCAGTTAGTAAACACAAAATAAGTCTTACCTATTTTGAAACCTACAAAATGCTTGCACCCCTAAAAAGATATTAAAATTAAAAAGTAGAAGTGTTACTTTCTTTCATTTTCTTATTTACTCTAAAGCAGGCAGCTATAGTGTCCCAACATTCCTGGCAGTGCTCCTCAAGCTTAGGCCTATATTTGTATTTCTCCATTTCCCAGGTATGTGTGTGAACTTGGGGGAGGGAAAACGTGAAAAAAGAGCAGAATCTTCTGGATACTGGCTGCCAGTGGCATGATTGGGCTTCACAAAATAGCTTTTAAACTAGTTTATATCTTTGAGACAGAATTTCAGAAATATTCTTCCCAAGCCTGTTGGTCAAATTACCTTTGGTCTTGGCTTGTTTTCCTTTCCTCTAACTATCTTAAGTGTAGGGGAGCAGCCGGCAAGAAACCAGAGACATTAGCATATTAACAGATTACTATGAAAGAATTTGGCTTGAAGGAAAAGAATTTGCAACTACCCTGTAAAAAATTAGGAAGCAAGCCAGGCCCAGTGGCGCATGCCTATAATCCCAGAGGCTCTGGAGGCCGAGACAGGAGGATCACAAGTTGAAAGCAAGCCTTGGCAAAAGTGAGGTGCTAAGCAACTCAGTGAAACCCTGTTTCTGAATAAAAAATACAAAATAGGGCTAAGGATGTGGCTCAGTGGTTGAATGCTCCTGAGTTCAATCCCAGGAGCCTCCCTCCCACACCCCCCCTCCAAAAAAAAGAATGGTTAATTTATTTAAAACTCTCCAATACACAATTCCTAGACAGATTAATGACATTAAAAACTACAAAATTTTATGAGTAAGATTTTTATTTCAATTTGATTTGCATTCCAAAGGAAATCATAAAATGTATTCACTACTTTATATAAAAAAATTATGATAAAATTGTAATGGAAATTATAAACCATGATAAATTTACATATCAAAATTGGGATAGTTGCTTGAAGTATCAAGTTTTTAAGTCACTATTTTCTGCCTTCATACCAAAGATGACCTTCAATTAGTGATCAGCTTACTGCAATAGCAAGGATAACACAGCTTCTCCAGCCCAGAGCAGGAACTTTTCTATGCCTTTTCATAGTAGCGAACAGCAACAACATCACCAAAAATAAGAGTCTGAAAGATTTAAAGGATAATCAAATATTTTTTACACAGGAACTCTCATAGTTGAGTTTTTAGAGATCATCATGTATATGATTTATCTACTACACAAAAGAATAATGACATTTACAAATATGAAATACTGCAAAACTCTTAATTTCTTAAAACAGAAAGAAAAAAAAAAAACAAAAAGAAACCTTGATGTTTAATGTGTGAATAACAAGTAGACATTTTTCAATGTGTGAATAACAAGTAGACATTTTTCACATCTCCAAAATGAAAATGGACCAAAAACTGAGTTCACAGTCTAAATTCAGAACAAAAGACTTCTTTCAGTTTTAAGTTATCAGGGTAACTGGAGCAATCAAAGAAGCTGAGAAGAGGAAACAATTAGCTAGGATCCTTTCATTTCTTCTGCCTGATGTATTGTTAAAGAACCTTGGTAGTGACATAATATTATTAAGGGAGGAAGGAGAAAAAGCAAAGAGGAAAAGTGGGGGTGGGGGGGACAGAGGAGAAGAAGAGAGGGAAAAGACCAGGTGAGAAATGGAGTGTATTCACTTTTTTCTTGGCTCTCTGCATCAAATGTGAATAATATGTATATAATAGGTTTTCATAGAAGTTTTCAATTCATATCTAGATCATTTTGTGAGACAATCCCATCATTTACACTAATGGTATTTGCAATGCCTCATTCCAAAATCAGCAGGAAAATGTGACTATACAGATGTTCTCATTATTTTGTCATTTTTTATTTAGCCTATATAAACCTAAGTGGTCATTTGGGTATCATGTGAACCATTGACTCTACTCCTCTGATGTCAAGTCCAACCTAAAGAAAAGCCATAATGTACCTTGATAAAATTTGGGAAGGGAAGATGTCGTGCTCATAATTTTTGAGTATTGACCTGATTTTCAAAGCTATAGCATGCCCTGGTTATCCATTGCTTTTAATCTACACTTCTGAACTCAGTCTTGCCTGATGACAGTCAAATGTGCCAGAGTTGAGGTCTCTCCTTTCTACAGTCAGGGAAAAAAAATGGTAGTAAAAACATAAAAGAGAACTTCTGTTTGGATTTCTTAGAATAAATGAATCCTTTCTTTTGTTGGTCATTGCAGGAAAATGTGGGCATATATCTTTTTTCATTTTAGAAAAACTGTCCCGATACTTCTCACCCTTACTTCCATGCATGTAAAGAAATATGAATATGTAGAAGCCTATACTTTCAAGGATCATTTCTATAGTTTGTTACTAGAACCGCTATGAGTACAGTAGCCAAGAGGAAGACAATCCGTTTTCTTAAATAGCAACAACAACAACAAAAAACCTTTCTGTTATTAGCTTAATAGGGACATGTAAAGCAACCCCCCCACCACATACACATATACAAAGGAATAAACCAACTTGATATGTCAGTATCATCAAAATACCATTAYTTAGCATAAAAAGGACTGAGAAAAGCTGGATCAAGGTATAACATCTTCCTCAGTTTCTGATGCTACTCTATCATTAGGAACTTCTTTGTAAATTATTTCCTATTGTATAATGTTTACATGCCTGCCTAGTATTGAACATATATATATTTAAAAAGCACCTTATGCATTTTTTAAAAAGAACAAAAAAAGTAACATCAAAATAGTTTTCACATAAGAAATTAAAGAGATTTTTTAATTTTTTCATTATAGTTTTTTATTAGACACTAAACATATACACTGGACTTCTATAATCTTTATAAATTAAAATGTAAAATGTTTAAAGGTCTTATTTATTATGGAATTATTAAGTAACTTTTCCAAGATTCAGCATGTTTGATGTTTTGTAACATAAATCATCCGTATATATTTTCATAATTATTGGTTTATGTTTAAATTTTATTTGAGGATCAAATGTTCACAGTAATCCTATAAAAATTCTTATTTTGACACACAGTACTGGGTAAAACAAGGGTACGTTTGTTTTGCTTTTTAAGGTACACAGAATTGACTGTCTTCAATCAAAGAAGCTGAACTGAGGAAGCAATTAGTTAGAATCTTTTCATTTCTCCTGTTTAATACATTGTTTGAAAATCTCGGTAGTGACATAATGTTATGAAAAAAGAGAGAGGGAAAAACTGAAGAAAGGAAGGAAAAGAGGAAGGCTGAAGGGTGGGAAGAGGTGGTGGAAATGGAAAGTGGAGGATTATCACTTATCACTTACCACAACCATTTTGCCATCCTTAATTTCTCTGACTAAAGTTGTTTCTTTGCCATCCCATTTCTGTACATGAATGAGTTTGTCTCCATCCAGGTTAACAACAGACTGAGACCAACAACAAAATGCAGAGTATAGCAAGAGATATACAAGTCAGATTTCTGACACAGAAGTCAAATGACAGGAAAAAGTATAATTGAATAAATTATCATTGACTAATTATCCAATTAGTTGTTACTTCTAGACTCATTATTATGTAAACTCTAACTATTTGTAATTTGATTGAAATGCATGCATCTAGACTCAAAAACTTCAGGCTAGAAATAAAAACCTTAGAATGAGTCAAACTAGTTAGTTGAACAGAGGCAATCAGAGAGAGGAAATGAAGCACAGTCTTTCTTTCAAATGAACTTGATTCCATACTTTCTGAAATACTAGTTTGATATAAAAATGTCAAAAATGTGTTAGACAAACAGGTTTGCGATGTGAGCAGTTACTCCTTGTTCAGGATACAACCTATGCACACCAGAACGCTACTTTAGATGTCCTTTTTCCTGAAACATTCTCTACTTTCCAATTTCAGAAAACAAACAGGCTTTGGGAATCTGTCTTTTATAACCCCTGTCCCCATCCCCACACTGAGAAGCAGCAGCTCTTACCTTACAGCTTCTGTCATCTGCACTGATTTCATCAAACTCTTCTCCCAGGTGGAAACTAATCTCTATGTTCTTGAATGTGCATAGAGTTTTGATCACCACTTTGTCTCCTTCCTGACTTATAATCACTGTAGGTTTGGTCACATTTCCCACCTGCCTAGTGGCAAAGCCCACACCTAAAATAGCAAAAGGAACCAGTATGGTCAGCAGCAATTCCAAGATAGCTCAGAAAGCAGAAATCTGCTTTTCAATCCTGAAATCCAGGTTCTAAAGTATAAGTAGCATTACAATATGATTAATGATTAATCCATTAATCATACAACTACTGGGCACAAATTGTAATAAATGAATGCTGAAGAAAAACCGAAAAAGTCACAGAAGCTTCCTGTCCTCCACAGAACATCAAATGTTCTGTTATTTGGCCCTGGACAAGAAAGCAGGCAAGTGCCACATTAAAAAAAAAAAAAAAAAAAAAAAAAAAATCCATTCAGTGGAAAATGTATAGTCTGGTGTAAAATTAGGGTAATGTGATCTGTCTGTCTCATGCTGACCAGATGGATAAAGAGAGACATCTGCAAGTGTCAGAAGCTGCAGGTTGAAAGGAGAAAATATCAAGTCTTATTTTTACCTACCTAGAGCCTTCATGTACTCATCAAAGTTCTGACTGTCTTTCAGCTTCCAGGTAGCACAGAAAGCCTCCACCATTCTTGTCCTTTCCTCCTTTAGCTTTGAAAGCAGCTAAGCCACAGAGGGTCTCAGGTCTTTCTGCCACTGCAGTTCAGAAGACCCCTTTGCACCGCAGCAGCAGCAGCTCCTGCCTTCTTATCTAGAAAATAAGCAGGCAAAAAGCCAATGAATTGAATTGCAAACTCACTCTTCCAGTGTGTCTTTTTCCAGTAGGCTGTTCCAGGGGGAGGGCATGGGAAGGAAGACTCCAGTCCTCTTTGTGATTGGCTCAGGCCACTGGGTTAGCAGAGTAGGTCAAGTTCCTCCCAATGGACACAGGGCAGCCCTTATGCCTGAAAAAGCTCTGCAGGGTTTCAGTGGGACTGGAGGCAGGGGAAAGAGAAGATGAGAGAGGGTCTTTCAGGTTCAGTAGAAAAAAAAAAAAAAAAACTTGGCAAAGGCAATCTCCAACTGTGAGAAAAGAAAAAAAGATGCACAATAGGACATTCAGATTGATTTCCGTTAATGGCAAAGCTGGTTACAAATGAGGACCCCCCTTACAGAAAACCACTGAAATGCCAGAGTTTTCAGACAAAAGAGTCTGAATAGTATACTTTATTTTCTCTTATATTTACAGGCAGAGCAAAATGCAGGCTAGAATATGCCAAACTGGGAAAAGAGGCCAGGGAGGAGGTGTAAGGCTTTCCCTGGATGTACTGCTCAAAGACTATGCTGAGTATCAATGGAAGCTAACCAAATCTGGCCCCTTCGAAACACAAACTGAGTGAATTTAAAGATCTCATTGTTCCCTCTAAGAATGTGAGAACCAGACTGGAATAGAAAAGTGATCTAAGGAAGAGTATGGTTAGGACTCATTAATGAGGTACAGAAATAAAGAGAGGGTTCTTTTTTCCCCCTCCTTTAACAGATTATAGAATCCAAGTGGAAGAATCGAACAGAAGATCATTTAGTAAGATCTTAAACGACATGCACTATAGGACCTTCTGATTTCCTGAGACCACATCTACATAAATATAATCTGTGTCCATGTTAGGAGTTATAAATGAGGGGAAGCAATGAGCAATGAAGGGAGGAGCGGTAGGAACCAGGGAGAAATTAGGTTTCAGATTGTCCTGTCTCAGGGTACCCCAAGAATGGCAAAATAATTCAAAAGTTCTAATTGAGTAGTTAGAGGAGGTATCTGAAACTCCTCTTCACCTGGATATGCTCCCTGCTTTGCACATGTAGACCAGAGATGAACATGACCTTCTCAGTCCCTCAAGGATTTTGACTTAGCAATTCCTGCTCTTCACCCCACATCACTTAAACCACAGACCACTATGTATCTGCTTCTGTCCTCACCAAATACAAGAGATGATACTCAGAACATATATAACCAATTTCTAGCTATATGCTTCTACTTTGCTATCTCAAAGGTGCTTACCAGAAGCTCAGAGGCGTTCACCACACCTGTTCTTCTTCTAATTTGGACTGCATATGTGAATAGTACCATCATCCCAACTACACAACACCAAAAATATACATCATTTCTAAAACTTTAATCTCCAAGATGGATTTCAACGTCAATGTCTACCTCTTTTTGCTTTTTGAATATTTCTCTGTTGTTTTCCTTCCATCTCCATAAACACCATCTAATTCAAACAGCACTGGCTCTCACTAGTTTAGTTGTATGACTATAACCTCTTCACTGTCCTTTGCAGCCACTCCTGATTTCTAGTCCTTTCACTATAYTGGAGTCCAAGTGACCTTTTAAAGTACAGATCTACATCTCCCTGGTGACAAATAGTATTGAGAATCTTTTCATGTGCTTCTCTGCCTTGTGTACATGTTCTCTGACAAAGTGACTATTCAAACTTTGACTTATTTTAAATTCTTTTTTGTTTGTTTGTTTGTTTTCTTGCCACCAGACTTGAAGTGTTCTTTATGTAACTATATTCTAGGTAAATGTCAATTATTGGATATGTGTTTTGAAAATTTTTCTTTCTTTTGATTTTTCTTCATTTGTTTGGTTGCTAAAATGGTTTCACTGATGTGTCAACAATATTAAGTATAGGGCTGGATTTGTGGCTCAGTGGTAGAGCACTTGCCTAGCATGTGTGAGGCACTGGGTTCAATCCTCAGTACCACATAAAAAGAAATAAATAGAATGAAGTCATTGTGCCCATTCACAACTAAAGAAAAATATTTTTTAAAAAATATTAAGAATACATATTAAATAAGTACAAATGACTTTATGTTAATTTTACCACATTAAAGTTATCTTTAAAAATCTAAATTTGATCTTGTCCCTCTGTTACTTAAACTCCTTCAGATAGATTCTTCCTGTTCTCAGGTTAAAGACCAAAATTAATGAGATTGTCTATATCAGTTCTGCCCCTGATGTTTGAAGGAGTTAGAGTAAGAATCCAAATGGTGGCTCACATACCATATACCTAAAGCAATAAATGCTGTAGATAAAACACTGCCTACAATAGGTAGTGCCCCATGCCTGGTCACAGGGCAGATGCCATCAGACCTGAGCAGCAGTGAGTGGGCAGATGAGAAAAGCTGGTCAGAAGCCCAGAGTTTCCAGCAGTGACTGGAACCCCCTGAACCTGAGAGGGCACATGAACTTGGTGTCGTGTGATGTGATTTGAAAATGCCTTTAGCAGTCATGAAAAGCCTGAAATGGAACAATCCCAGGGGAAGCAAAGCTTGTACAGTCAAACCCTCTGACATCATTTGAGCTCTTGAACCATAGACCTCCAGTAGCCTCAGTCATGCTTTTAATAGATCATCTTTGTCTTTTGGGGGGAAAATTCAGAAGACTAATTATCTATGTGAACCATTCTCTATGGAAAAGGTTCTCAAACTAAGAATTGCTATACCAATGTCCATAGTAGAAATTTTAGGAAAAGCCAGTTGAATATTTTGTGACTCCTTAAACTGACATTTTTTTTTAAGAGAGAGTGAGAGAGGAGAGAGAGAGAGAGAGAGAGAGAGAGAGAGAGAGAGAGAGAGAGAGAGAGAGAGAGAGAGAGAGAGAGAGAGAATTTTTTTTTAATATTTATTTTTTAGTTCTCGGCGGACACAACATCTTTGTTGGTATGTGGTGCTGAGGATCGAACCCAGGCCGCACGCATGCCAGGYGAGYGCGCTACCGCTTGAGCCACATCCCCAGCCCCTCTGACATTTTTAACCTAATTTAAATTAGTTTTAAAAAATACTACATAGTATCCTAAGAATGATCTTTTTTTCAAATAAAAGCTTATTTGCTCTGATTATTGAGGGTTTAAATAGAAGAAAAAGTCAAAGAACGGAGACTGTTGTGCTAAGGAGGATTCAACAAATATTTTTTCCAAGTTTACTAAACCTGGGAGCACTGTGTGGTTTTAATATGACTTTCATGCATCCTCAAGCTTAAGAAGAGAAAGGTTGGATCTCTCTCATGAAACCATTTACTTTGCGTGTTAACTAATGGCAACAAGGACTCTAAATAATCTATTATAAAGATTTATGTTTTTAAGTAGTGAAATAGAATGAACAAAGGGAGAGAAGATGCTGTGAGATATGTTGGCAAAATCTCCAAGTGAGACTGTGCCTTCTTTCTAACAGTTTTTCCTTCTTAAGAAAACAGATTGCTGATAAATTTTTAATACTGTTCTTGAGCAAAGTAAGCCAACCAAGGCCATGACACTATTTCTTGCAAGATAACCCAAGGGTATACACCAAGASTAATTAAATAACATTCAAAGTACTTGCTTTAGGGTTTTTAAAAAAATTTTTTTTTGTTGTTGTTACCAAATTATATTGAATAAAATACTAATGGAATATCTCTGTACAAAGAAATGTATTGTGACAACACAAGGATGGTCTCCTATTATAGGTCACAGATAAGATCAGATAAAACCATCAGACCAATACAGTGTTACAGACGTACCCTAAGGCTCACCAGTCTGCCCTGTGCACACTTTTCATCATCCCCACCCCCACAATTAACCAGCTAAGCCAGCTCTTGCCAGGAGTGATGAGGATCCCAAATTTCCAGGAGGAGTTGATRCAATAATGGTGATGAATTTTCATGAGTATGAGGAAGTGAAGGGAAAACTAATGGCTTCTCTGTCCCTTGGTGATGTGAAGTTCTTCTCGTATTATACTTTAAAAAAAAATGTGGACTAGATATGGGGGAAAAAAGCATCTCCCAGTGTCACACCCTGGAAAAGAAGAATTTTAGGAGAAACGTTTTCTGTTTGCCACTTCCAGCAGCTTTTCCTTTATTTCCCTACCATTATCTACATCTTCTATTCTCCATGTTTTCTTAAACACAAAATGTAAAAGAGGGCTGGAGTTGGCTTCCAGATCTGACAAAGTATCCCAGGTGAGAACTGTTCTTATTCCAGTCTTGTTACAATAGACTTCCAGGACCTTCCCTCCTCAGACCATCGATAAGCCACAACTCTGTCAAGAAAACTCTTCTCTCTAGCTTTCTCATTATTGTCCACTTGTCTTTTAGAGTTTAGCTCAAATATGCTTTCCTCCAGGAAGATTAGTCTGAATCCTATGGTTATGTCATCCATGCTGTTTGTTACATCTTTTACACATATCACAATTTGAATTAAGTTCTTTGTAATCACTAGCTAAACATCTTTCTTCCTTGTAAGAGAACAAGTTCCTGGATGTGTCAATTCTATTCCCCAGTGTTTTCCAAAGCCATTGTCTAGTGTAATATGAAGTCCATAGAGTACGATCAACAAATAGAACAAAGAGAAACAGAGCTTTCAAACTGTAAGAATTTAAACTCCTGTCCACGTACTCTTTTCCAAGTCTTCATCCAAACATTTCCTCACTTTGCAACCAGTAGGACCCAAAGGCAGGATATCGAAGCTTTGTGTTCATCTGTATCATATTCCTGTTGGGAGAAAATTAAGAATTTAGAGATTTTTAGAGTTTTTCTTTGAATTGAAAGCACATAGATAGTCTGGGAGAACATTCAAATGCATGATGAATTTACTAATGCAACAGAAGAGTTGTATGCCGTGTCATATGTGGAAACCTGATGCCAAGGAGCTTGCGTGGAAACCGTCCTTTGAGTGGATCTTTTGGTGTCTTTATTATGAGTGGTTATGATTTGTAAATCTAAAAC